TAAGAATCTATCAATGCACAAGTCATGTAGTTGAACTGAAGTAGTTATTTAGACCTCAAGGAAAAGTTGTACATCCCTGTGAGCTGAGATGGATGGCTGCATATTGAATGGATAAAAGTATATATAAGCTATATATAAGCTATGCAGGTATATATAAAGTATATATAAGCTATACAGGGCAGTGTATATCAGAAAATAGCTCAAAATACACAGCATGGAGTGTAAATAAGGCTGAAGTGAGAATAGGATGTATGGTGATTTGTGTGAGTTTCATGCTTAATTCCTTCACACTGGCATCTCTACTTCCTTCAACCTTCATCAGAGGCAGAGCTACAGAGAATACTAACTGGAAAATGTGACAACTCTCCAGGTTGGAGGATAGACATCATTGGTTTACTAATTGGTGGATGAAATCAACATTTTGGAACTTTTCTCAGAGCTGCCTTTTGCCTGATTTCATCTTAGTTTCTCCCTGTCTTCTTTCATCAATCTTATTGCTTAATCACATCCATTTTGTACCTGCATCAGCTCTAAATCATGCATTTTAACAACTTTCAGTCATGGAGTAAGGGATGATGATAGGAAAATATACTTTAAAATTTATTATTATGGTACATACTGCTTTATTTTCAAATATAACTTTTAAAAACAATGTGCTTTTACAAATTTTCTCTTTATTCTTATGATGCTCAAGTTTAAATATTTAGAATGAGCTGAAGAATTATATAGAACAGTCATATCTTCCCACCTATATTCAAAAGTGTTGACATTTTGCATGTTTTCAAATATAATAAATGTATGTTGGTATACACACAAATGTACATTAATTTTTGACTGAACCTATCCAAAGTAAATTACAGCTATAACCTTCTGTCTCTAGAGACATGAGAAAGAAAATGTCCCCAAAAGTATAACAGTGGTACCTTGATTTCCAAACTTAGTTTGCTTTACAATTTTGGGGAAGATGGCTATGATCATGTTTGTTGCACATTGGAGTTTGCAAATGAAAGTAAAATTTTCCTGAAGAATGTTGTTTGCAAACTGAAAAGTTTACAAGCAGAATCACTCCTGAACTGAAGTATTCCTCTATATTCTCCTTAATAGTTAAATTTTATTAATTACATCTGAGCAACTTAATATTTTTTCTCTTCCATCATTTCATTTCTTGTCCACATTCAAATTGCCACTTGAAAAGTTTACAAGCAGAATCACTCCTGAACTGAAGTATTCCTCTATATTCTCCTTAATAGTTACATTTTATTAATTACATCTGAGCAACTTAATATTTTTTCTCTTCCATCATTTCATTTCTTGTCCACATTCAAATTGCCACTGTTTTTTTCATAACATGTTGTGTATTTCATTTTTAACTAAGATGTATCAATAACTCCACCCCTGATATTTGGTTATATTTTCAAGCTCTGTTAACCCACAGTGAT